AATGACAAAAAGAACGCGTTTTCAGAAACTTCAAAACAGACACTACACAAAACACAAAATGAATTCAAAAGTCAAATCACAAAACTGAAACACAAAGAGAACGGCCCCTTAACTTCCATTCCAGCACATAGTTATTAAACCCAGTCGGATCATTGACCCAATCGAAGTTCCAGATCGTCCGCTCATACAGCTCAGTGAGCATGGTCCTAATTTCTCGTTACTAAAGCAAAGGTCCAGCATTTGAAAAGCTTGGCCCTTGCAAACCTTTGTATTTTCATCAAAAACCAACTCTTCCAGAACTAGTTTGTATCCAAGTCATCCAGATTTTGACCAGTTCATTGGCAAACCAATTACCAATCCGTTGAAGTCTACCAGACCGGTCTATAAGCTGGTTAGCTGGGTTTCAACTTTCAAGTCGAACTGACTGGTCAGATCCCCAAGATTTTATAACTGTGGTCCAATGTATGCTCAAAAACAAAAATCCCCCTTATCAAATAAATAAACAAGAAAAGCACAAGACGCAAAGCACAGAAATCATGCAAAATCTACAAACCGTAACAAAAATTCCAATAGCACAGTAACTAAATTTTTCATTCTCCTTCTTGCCATCCCATAAAATATAAAAGCATGATAAATACAAAGCAATTCGAAGTACTAAAATCTGCTAAAGAATTCTTACACCACTAGTCCTTATCATCTACTTTTAATATATCAATCACAAAAGATCCTTCTCCTTCCCTTTTATGTTTCTTCTCCATTCTTGTGTATACAATGGGAATTATGTTTTTCGATTCTGGTTGAAACAGAGGTAGCTACCCTGTGATTACACACTAGTCGAGGTTAGACATTACAAGTTAGCCTGTTTGGCAAAGCTTAAAATAAGTAAAAGTAACATTTTGTTTCCAAACATGTTCGTATAAGGTACCTTTTTTCTCACTTTTCAAGCAAGAAAAGTTGCTTATTTTGGGAGTAACTCTTTCTTACTGTCAAAGTATGAAACTTATTTTCAAATTTGACCAGTTAAAAAAATTACTTATATACTTATAATTTAATTTTTCAAGCTTAGCCAAATATGATCTGAGTCCCAAATGGCAGTTTCAATTTATTGACTGAACATCAAATTTTCCTATTTTCACCATGACTTTAACCGTTACCTGACATCAGATTTCAGCATTTCTATGGCATTCTGTTGAGCGGAATACTTTCACCTCGTCGAGCAACCCTTTCAACAGGTGAAATCCTTTGTGGCATTGTCATGCCCCCAGAAACAATTATCTCTGCATTTTTGCTCAAATGTAAGAAACGATAACAACAAACATTAACATTAACCAAAATACATATCGTTGTTAATATATATATATACACACATACACACATATATATTGATAATGCAAATCCTGTCTTGACTTTGTGTGCCTCTGCATTGGCACTAAGTCCCACTATTAGTACAGCATTAATTGTCTCCGTCGTGTGACACCAGAAATGGTGTCTCT